TTTAAAGATTTTATTTATTTATTTGACAGAGAGAGAGAGAGCGAGAGCAGGAACACAAGCAGGGGGAGTGGGAGAGCGAGAAGCAGGCTTCCTGCCGAGCAGGGAGCCCAATGTGGGACTCGATTCCAGGACCCTGGGATCATGACCTGAGCCGAAGGCAGACGCTTAACGACTGAGCCACCCAGGCGCCTGAGGATAAAATTCCTGTAATGAATCTTGGCTGCTCAGGAAGAACACTCACTGTAAGACAGCAATATTAAGTACAGTGGGAAAATTTAATTTAATTTAATTCTCTATTGATTTATGTATTTGCAAATAACTCCTCCCAGTTTGTTGTTTGTTTTTAATTTTGTAATGTTTGATATCATATAGAAGTATTAAAAAACAAAATTTAGGGATGCCTGGGTGGCTCAGTTGGTGAAGCGTCTGCCTTCGGCTCAGGTCATGATCCTGGGGTCCTGGGATCTAGTCCCACATCAGGCTCCCTGCTCAGCGGGGAGCCTGCTTCTCCCTCTGCCTGCCTCTCCTTCTCTCTAACAAATAAATAAATAATAAAAAGAAACTGGGAAAAAAATCTGTAAAAAAAATAAATAAAAAATAATAAACAAAATTTAACCAAGTAAATTTGAAGATGTAATTGACTTCATTGAACGATTCATGAATTGCGCAGCATCTCACCCAGCAAGCAGTAGAGGGCTCCTCTGAGCTGCAGGGAAGGAAAGGCAGAGAAGAGCCATTTAAAAAATAATGGGGTGCCTGGGTGGCTCAGTTGGTTGAGAGTCTGGCTCATGATTTCAAATCTGGTCACAATCTTAGGGTTGTGGGATCGAGCCCCACATCAGGCTTGGCACTCAGCGTTGAGTTGGCTTGAGATTCTGCTTGAGATTCCCTCTGAACCTCTCCCCCCACACCCACCCACTCTCACTCTTAAATAAAAACAGATAAATATTTAAAATAAAAACACATAAATATTTAAAAACATTTAAAGCATAAAAACAAATAATAATTTATTAGCAAGGAATGCAGTGTTTAGGCAAGGTCGCCCTCCTAAGGGGAAGGGGCCTCTCAGGGTATTGCCTACAGGAAATTCCAGTTTGGGTGGTTAAAGGTTACATTTGAGGGGGATGAAGCTGAAGTTAGGTTAGATATTAAATCTTGGTTTACTGTTGTGGAACCTTAACTGTCTCCATTATAGCCCTGTGGTTTTCTTTTTTCTTTTCTTTTTTAATGTTTATTCCAAAGCCATTTTAAATCTTTAAGTAAAAATCCAGTGTTGCCACCCAAAACATTAACAATGGGTGATTATCCAAGGTGGCTTTTGTTCTACAAAATGACCACAAAGAGCATGCTACTCTCTAAGGGGAAGGAAACAAGCCATCCTCCTGTAGTTTTCTTTTTCTTTTTTTTTTTAAAGATTTTATTTATTTTGACAGAGAGAGATACAGCGAGAGAGGGAACACAAGCAGGGGGAGTGGGAGAGGGAGAAGCAGGCTTCCCGGGGAGCAGGG